AATTAAATAAGACTCAAATCATTATCATTCAAACACTTACAGTAATGTCAGAGAGTTTAAGGTATTTGGCGACCGGTATGTCCTTCTTCTTCATTTGCTCGCATAAGTCCTTCACTTTGTTTTTGGTCTTAAGGTCGACGGCATTGCATTCGTCGCTTCGGGTCTCCAGGAGCTGAAGCATCAACGAGAGTGCGTTCGGGTCGATATCCATAGTCAAGCGGTCCTGACTGTAGACAAACATGAGACACGCCGTACAGAGGGCCAGATTGTCGTCCGTCGGCGCGTCCATTAAGGCACTGATGATTCGGGGCATATCGTCGTGCGCTCGCAAATGCATCCGAAACTCCGGTCGCATCGCCTGTTGTGTCAAACCTAATATACTGTCGACAAAACCAAACGGTTAAACAATTGCTAATATTATCACCAATTAAGCGATGGTATGGTCTGTAATACCTAAGACATCGCATGGCGGTTGAGTTGGAGACATCGATTCCACTCAAATGGTATTTGATATCGTCGTCAAACTGTTCCGTTTCGCCCAAATCGTGGCACTGATGGGCTTTCTTCACGCGACGCAACACTACGTAATCGTCTTCGGCGTCAAAATCGTCGGCCATTTTGTTTTTGTTGTTAGCGTTCGCTGTCGTCGACGAAGACTGTGTGGCGGCGGCCGAGGGGTCGGCATTGGGTTCGCCGCCGAAGTCGTCGCCGTCAAACTCGGACGGACCGGATGTCCAGAAATTCTTAGCGCTAAACACCGCTCTGTTCTTCTTGTTGGCCGACGAGAAGATCTTTCGCTTAGGTTTGGATATGATTTGAGTGGTTGTCTCTGAGGTGGCGGTTGTGTCGGTCGTCTCCGTTGTGGTCGTCGTAACGGCCAAAGAGTCGGTTTCATCTGTGGGTTGCGATGACTCCGGCATCAAATCAATGACCGATGCCTTCTGTGACGCCGACGACTCAGAGGATTGAGTCGACGGGCCGTTTGTAGACGTCTCGGACACCACAGACTCCGCGTCCATCTCTTCCACCGGACTCTCCGCACGGCTATCACTGCCAACAGATAATTGATTGTCTTCGACGACCGTTGGCTTCGTTTGCTTCACAACTTCGGGCGATGTCTTGGCTGATGGCGGCGGCGGTGACGACGGGTCCAACAACTGAGCGCCCGATCGAGCCTTCATGCGTCGGGTGGCGTACGTCGTCTGCGTTGAGTAATCGACAGCTGGTTTAGCGGTGATAAACGCCGACGAATCGACACTTGCTTTGAGACTCGCTTTGACGGGCGAAGAGGACTTCGAGCGCACGGTATGGGCCGAGGCTTTGGTCGGGCTTTTGATGGCCGACGCTGTGGTCGTAGGCGTCAAATACGTGGTCGTCGTCTTAGTGGTGGTCACGTGAGTGATGGCAGCGGACACGAGAGGACTCGTACTCTTGCGATCGTTGCCGTCAGCGGTGGTCACGTCGACGGACACCGCTTTCGGTCGCCACACGTATTGAACGTCAAATATGGAGTTCTTGGTCTTCGAGGACACGAGCGACGACTTCTTCGGGCCGTTACTATCGCTCCAGAAGTTCTTCATATTAAAGACGGCTCTGTTTTGCTTACTATTGCCGGAGAAGATCTTCTTCCGCGGTTGGGCTCCCGTGGAGGCCATCGTTACGGTCACTGACGGCGCTGTCGAGCAGTTCATCGACGACTTGGGAACCGATAGCGGCATTCGGCCGTCCATTGCGACCCAAGGCTGATGTGTCTGAGTGTCTGACTGTCTGTATATCGCTGTCTGTGGGCTCACAACGCGTCCGCACGACTGGATCAGCACTTCATGTGTATTGACACCAATGGTTAACGTAAACCATAACAACAGTTCAGTACAGTATGGCATACAATATGGCGATAACACACAACATCACTACCCATACAACCCCTTAACCACACCTTTCATATGCGACTACATTTGGTACCTTTTATAGCATACAATATATAGTGTATGTAAACCAGTAGTCGTTGTCTTAAATAGTGCTCTAAGCTATGGATAGCATATATCGTGTTTTGTGCGAATAAATGTTGTGTGAAATGCACTCAATTTGAATGTGTGTACTATTCATATAAACTGTTACGCAATTTATGACTAAATTGTGATTTAATTGCGATATTAATAAAAATTTAGTTAAAATAATAAAGAAATTTATAAAAGCGGACACAAATGGATGCGAAACTAAACAAGGTTTACGGGTATAACTTATTGACTAACCAATTTTCTCGTAAAGCAATTTGAGTGCAGAGTGTGTGTTGGAAAAAGTCGTTGAGAAGTTTTACATAGAAAATAGCGTTAAAAATACTCATAGGCTTAGCATTAGTGCATAGATTGTATGGTTAGGGAAAGTGCTATACATTTGTGATTAAAGCCCAATATATTGTCCATAATTAATAAAACCCATTCAACGCCTCCCCAAAAGTGGTCTCAAATATAGACAATATATTAATTTTGATTATTATTTGTGACAATCATTTTGATTGAATATTTGGCGCATAAATGAAGTTTGTGTTAAGTTTCATACATTTCCACATAGATGTCACACAATAGTCCGTTAGAATTGTCCAAATTGATCATGGTCATTTTATTACTCCAACCACTATTATATGCTGTACTTTAGGCTATAAATTATTATTTAATTAAATAGGTTTTGATTTGATTTGTTTTATTAATTATGGACAATATATTGGGCTTTAATCACAAATGTATAGCACTTTCCCTAACCATACAATCTATGCACT